GATTTAAAATATTCCACATGATATGAAGATAGTACACCAACATTATTAATGAGTAATTCTATATAATCACATACACACAATATGAATTAACATAAGAAGAGTAGAAAAGCTCTTTCTAATTGCATTTCCTTATCACCTATTTATTGATTATTGCTGCTCTCTTTGATAAGATTAATCCTAAAATGAATGAAACCAGTTATTAGTAAACACTTTCAACCAATCTGATCCTACAGTATGATCACATATATTATATCTGTTATCATATGTAAAGCAGAGATGATTTCCAGTCATCTTTTCACTCTGCAGATATAAAAACAGTGAACAGACTCTCCTATTGGCTCCAGTCAGACCATCATTGATGCTTCATATGTTTGATTGTATGCAAACTCAGTGAGCTTCCTTGTTACTCAGCTATAAAAACTTCCCATCAGGCCGTCAGTGGAGTTCACAGCACGTCACTTTCAACATCAACCATGTTTTCTGTAGCTCTGCTGCTGCTGCTGGCAGCTGGATGTGAGTCTGTCTGCATCTGTTAAAGTCAACAGTTCTTTTTCTGCAGTTTAACTTGATCATTTCTTACTAAACATGTTCTCTTTTTAACAGGTGTGAAGTGTGAACAGTTGACACAGCCAGCCTCTGTGACTGTGCAGCCAGGTCAGAGTCTGACCATCACCTGTCAGGTCTCTTATTCTGTTGGCAGCTACTACACAGCCTGGATCAGACAGCCTACAGGGAAAGGACTGGAGTGGATCGGTCACAAATATGGATCCACCGCATACTACAAAGATTCACTGAAGAACCAGTTCAGTATCGACTTAGACTCTTCCAGAAACAGAGCGACTCTAAACGGACTGAATATGCAGCCTGCAGACACTGCAGTGTATTACTGTGCCAGAGAGCCACAGTGACACAATCTATCAGTAGAGCTGAACAAAAACCCCTCAGAGCCTGAACACCAGTAACATGAAGCCACCAGAGGAGGAGCCCTCACACCAATAATGATTAACACCAAGCACTGAACCAGGGGAACAGAGCCTTTTCCATTGCTGCCCCTCTCCCTCTGGATCTCTCTCCCAAACACACCTGAGACTTTACGGACCTGCCACAATTCAAATCACTGATAGAAACATTATAAACACTGCTTTAGATTGCTAATGTTTCTTTTTGTACCATTGTTTAAAAGTGTTTTTCTTTAAATGCGACTCTGTAAATCAAATAAATCAAATGTATTATAATTATATTTATACATATTAAACACCAGTTCACTTTTACAGTAAGGAGAAAAACAGCTGTAAGACATTATGAAAATACCTTTGTATTAAACAGAATAACTCACAATTATCAGGATCACATTCACATTAGTAACTGAACCAGAGGTCTTTAGCTTCCTCTATGGTGATCTTATTCAATCAGACTTTTAGAAAATGAGATTTTAAAACCACTGTTGTTCTCTGATACCCTGAGCCCATGTGACAAAATCCTCCATGAATGTTGAGAACAGAAGACACCATCAAAGAACATGATGGGGATTAACTTCCTGTTAGATGTGAATATTTTTGGTACATGTGATCACAGATGTTACTGTATGTTCAATAACTGTCAAAAAGTGGAGCTGTGTGTTATTCTGCTTTGTGTTCTTACTGATCGGCTGCCTGAGTTGAGATACCGAAAAAAATAAACTAAAGATTAACAACTTGAAAGGACACTTGTGTTTAGAATTTAATTCCAAAAGTAAAGAAGTGATATCCAAATAAAATGACTTTCTTATCTCTCTGAGGAGGAGTCAATGCAAATCTCTGATGTGTTCCTCCTCTACTTATGTGAGAGCAGAGAGGACGACAGAGAACAGTGGACACACAGTTGAACATGATGGACTATAGGACAGGACTGCTGCTTTTTACTGTCTGCTGGGCAGGTGATGATCATCACTCATCTTTACTCTAAACTTAAAAGGCCTGGAGAATCCCACAGACTGACCTGTTCAGCCTCTGGATTCACATTCAGCAGCTCCTGGATGGCTTGGGTTAGACAGGCTCCTGGAAAAGGACTGGAGTGGATCGCTAGAATTAGTAATGGTGGTGGTAGCAGCCAATACTACTCTAATTCAGTCAAAGGCCGGTTCACCATCTCCAGAGACAACAGCAGACAGCAGCTGTATCTGCAGATGAACAGTCTGAAGACTGCAGACACTGCAGTGTATTACTGTGCCAGAGACCCACAGTGACACAACCCATCAGTAGTGCTGAACAAAAACTACTTCCTCTTTTTACCACCATCACAATATTTCTTGTGATTCACAATCAACTATGAAAATTCTGAGTGTTGAACAAATACTTATCAAGTCATCAACATCAATTGTTTTTTTAAAACACAGTTTCTCAATTAATGGAAGTTTAAGTATTAGCCCCCTCTTACTTCAGTGACATGGAAGACACATTTAAATTGTGAATGTAGACAAGAACTAATTAATATAAAATATATAGAGCAGCAGTTAAATCTACAGCATCTCTATGATACATCCTAGAAGTAATCATTCTGTAGTGAACTATTTAGATGTGCATGCTTGGGGAATGTAAACTGCAGTTAGAAGCAGGGCCGTCCCTGGCCAAATTGGGGCCCTAAGCAGAATTTTATTTTGAGGGCCCCCCCATGACAACATGACTGTATCACGAAATGCCATTTAGGTGTACAACCTTTATTAGTCGGAACAAATCAAATGAATAGCCTCTATCAACAATGGAACAGGCCTTTTACAGATGCACACGTCTGCATTTTCTGGATGCAAAGTCATCAATGAGGTCATCATATGACAGCTGCTGTGCCTTAAAAGGCCCTCGGCGCACAAATTCAACCCGGTCGATGTCTGATAGGTGTGCTGGCCACAGAGCAGGATCAACTGGTTGTGCACTTGGAGTAGTGATAGTAGCATATTTAGCTGAAGAGATGTTGCTTGATGGCCCTGGTGATATGCTGGGTGCTGCTGCATTTGTATCTGTTGACATGGTGCTTGATGGCCCTTGTGACGTACTGGGCGCTGGCTCCGTGTCACCCTTAGTAACAAACTTCAGCATTGACGCTGTTATGACAAGAAATCCATCATACAAGCAGATTATTAAGATTTGTTTTGGTCCTTAATGGTAAATTACACAATGAAATGAATGTAAATACTAGCCTCACAAAGATTAAAATGCAATTAATGCAAATATGACTACAACTAATGATAATATTCATTATGATTTGATTTGATGACATTTCTATATTTAAATGTTTTTAGATACTTATTTTTACATTTTCTACTTAGGTTCTATATTTCTACACTGCTGTTTGCTGCTGCAATGTTTTAAATCTCTCCATTGTGGGTCAAATAAAAGATTATCTTCATTTATCTTATTTTATCTAATCTTATATGACTGTTATAAATTAAATTCACCAATAGATGGCGACATTTTACCTCCATAAAAATAGCCCAAAACTTCTATTGATAGCATAGATTGATAGGCTATAAACCTGAGCCAACACACGACCACCAACTGGTCAATTAACCACTCCTTTTTCAACAGAGGTGAATGTATATGCAGTTAACAAGACATTCAATAAATGATAATCAGGGCCGCTGGAACATTTAATCTCCAGTCCACATCTAGACAGAATGATCCTCTCTTCTGTCTCATGATTAGCAGACTAGCAGCTGGGGTGTTTATGCCACAAAGTTTTTCTTTTTTATTTCAACAACATACCCACCTTCAAGTGAAGCACGAGCCTCCTGTTGTTTTGACTTTTTCTTTCTTTTGCTTGCTCCCGATTCACATTGCCGTTTGGAGGCCATCTCTTCACCTGCATCCAACTGCCTGTTGGCGCATCTGACCGCTGATTGGTCAGATGCTGCGTGCTGTCAATCATTGCGGCAACGCGTGCGGTGTCAGATTACTCGTCTCTTTTTTTTTCTCTCCTGCCTCGGGCTGACTTGTTGCTCTAGGCGCGCCTCACGGCAGCGACGCGCATCATTTGCGCAATTGCAGAGAATGCGTCCCCTTGCGCAAAATGGGGCCCCCCGTGGACCGTGGGGCCCTACACACAGCGCGTGTTCTGCGTGTAGGGTGGGGCGGCGCTGGTTACAAGACAGTTTATATAACTTCATGTGTTGAAATCTTACCATGAAAGACTTCTGACATGTGGTTAATAATATCAATTCAATTCAATTCAATTCAAATTCAATGATAAAGAGGTCATAAATAATTGTTATAAGCGGTTAAATGAGTGGTCTTAAAAATAAATAAGAAATAGATCACTTGTTCATGAGCCTGATAGATGTGGGAGCAAAGCTTGACATGGCTCGATTAGTCCGGAAAGTGAGAGATCTGTATCTGTGGCCTGAGGGGAGACGGTTGTAGAGATGGCAGAGTGAGTGTGTGCTGTCTGAGGCTATGTGTGGTCCTTTTAGTTTTGTTCTCCTGTTGTAGATACTGATCAGTGGTTCCTGTTGCTGCACGATTATTTTGCTGCTTATTGTTATGATCCTGTTTAATGGGTTACGATGAATGTTTGACATAGACCCAAACCAGGCTGTGATGTTGAATGTTAAAACTGTCCGTCAAGCTTTACTGTATCTGAGCACCAAGTGTCATTAATGAAAAACACAGTTTCTCCCCTTGTGAACACTTGTTCCTTAAAGCCACCAGAGGAGGAGCTCTCACACAACAAATGATTTCAACTTCATTTGACTGTAACAGTAAAGAGAGAGAGAGAAACAGTCTTAAGGCTTTATTAGATCTTCTAATAAATGTGTCACTTAAATATTGTTTCAATCCCTATCTCTGATTAATTGAGAGTTTAAGAGTAATACTCAATTTTACCAGGATTTTGAAATATTTTAATGAACGTAGTCGGTTGATTTACCATCCTGTGTATGTAAATTAGTCTCCTCTTGTTGCCATATAAGAAAGTCCACTGGGTGTGTTAATGCATCAAGTTCTCACATCAGATCAGCTCCATCATCAGTCATGTTCTCTGCAGCTCTGATTCTGCTGCTGACCGCTGGATCCTGTAAGGATATTTTCAACTGTTTAGAAACAACTCATAATCAGATGAAATGATGGAGATAATGATGATTTGTGTTTCCACAGGTGTGCACTGTATTGATCTCATCACACCAGGCTCAATGGTTGTGCAGCCTGGACAGTCTCTGACCCTCACCTGTCAGGTCTCTGGTTACTCTCTGACTGATAACAGCTATGCAACAGGTTGGATCAGACAGCGTGAAGGGAAACCGATGGACTGGATCTCTTATCAGTGGGGAGGAAGCTCTGGGAGCTTTTACCAAAATAATGCTCTGAAGAACAAGTTCAGCTACAGCAGAGACACGTCTGCTGGAACAGTGACTCTAACAGGACAGAGTCTGCAGCCTGAAGACACTGCTGTGTATTACTGTGTGAGAGACCCACAGTGAGAGACAATAACAGGAGAGTCATACAAAAACTACTTCCTCTGTTTACAACCATCACTGGGAACATTCAGCTGTCTCAACATCACATTATAAAAACTAATTATGAATACGTGTCAGAAATACAAAAATCAAGACGTGATTGACTCAATATCAGACTCCTACATCATGGTCCGGAGTTATTACTGGACTGTGATTGGCCGCAGGGTGTCAAATCATTTCTCACTTTGACAGTTTCTTCTCCAAGTTGTCTGTGAGTTCATGATAATGGACATTTTGTTTAACAATTCTTAAACACACTCAGATGCAGAGGAAAGTCCAGGACACAAAAAACTGATAGTAAGAAAAAGTTCTCTACTCAAATGTTTGTAGGTCAAACACAGAGAGGCAGTCAGCGAGGGCAGAAAAATCCAACGAGGGCAAATCCACAAAATCCAAACAAAGTTCAAAACCGGGAAAAGCAAACAGGGAAAATAAGGCTGGAAAGCATGAACACACTCAGGAGACGATGACAATCTGTCAGAGGGCTGGTAGAAACACAGGGGTGAATATACAGGGCGGACTTATTGCAGGTGAGACACAGGTGTGTTGGGACAAAAGGAGGGAAACCAAACAATTGCAGGAAGATGGGCTACATGTTATTCACAAGCAGCAGATAACAACATAAAACAGGAAGTGAACACAGAACAAAAGAAAACAAAATGGCTGGACTAACAGAATATCACAAATTTTGATAAGAAGCTGCAGAATTATCCAGTTAGCTTACAGGTGTATTTCAGTTTACTGGAACAGCAGACGCAATTATTCCTGAGCATCGGCTGACAGCATGTTTAAAGGAGGGTCACTACACACACACACACACACACACACACACACACACACACGCACGCACGCACGCACGCACACACACACACACACACACACACACACACACACACACACACACACACACACACACACACACAGGGATGGTTGTGAAAAAACTCAGAAAATTGAACGTGTTCCGAGAGAAATAATAACAGACGAAAGTTTCAGAGTCATTGTGCAAAAGTAATTGACACAACTACGATCTTGTTTTTTTTCCACATGCGTCAATTTTGGACACATTTAACACAGAAAACAAACTGTACTCAGAAATAATTTAGTATTGAGGTCTGAATTCTCACACCTCTGAATTTTGAATTGAGATTTTCTGAATGTCAGGACAAAGAAGGATGAGGAAATGATCATATTCAACATCAGGTTTTTCTACAGAATATTGCCAGACCATGCTGCAGTTACAACACAGAAAATAAATGCTGAAATATGACTTGACCACACATCCATCAACCAAAAATACAGACTCATTTTCCCTGAAATAGCAGGAGTCAATGCAAATGTAAAGCAGAGATGATTTCCAGTCATCTTTTCACTCTGCAGATATAAAAACAGTGAACAGACTCTCCTATTGGCTCCAGTCAGACCATCATTGATGCTTCATATGTTTGATTGTATGCAAACTCAGTGAGCTTCCTTGTTACTCAGCTATAAAAACTTCCCATCAGGCCGTCAGTGGAGTTCACAGCACGTCACTTTCAACATCAACCATGTTTTCTGTAGCTCTGCTGCTGCTGCTGGCAGCTGGATGTGAGTCTGTCTGCATCTGTCAAAGTCAACAGTTCTTCTTCTGCAGTTTAACTTGATCATTTCTTACTAAACATGTTCTCTTTTTAACAGGTGTGAAGTGTGAACAGTTGACACAGCCAGCCTCTGTGACTGTGCAGCCAGGTCAGAGTCTGACCATCACCTGTCAGGTCTCTTATTCTGTTAGTAGCTACTACACAGCCTGGATCAGAGCTGGAGGGAAAGGACTGGAGTGGATTGGAATGGTATCTGCTGGATCCACCACACGCTACAAAGATTCACTGAAGAACCAGTTCAGTATTGACTTAGACTCTTCCAGAAAAATAGCGACTCTAAATGGACTGAATATGCAGCCTGCAGACACTGCAGTGTATTACTGTGCCAGAGACCCACAGTGACACAACCCATCAGTAGAGCTAAACAAAAACTACTTCCTCTTTTTACCACCATCACAATATTTCATGTGATTCACAATCAACTATGAAAATTCTGAGTGTTGAACAAATACTTATCAAGTCATCAACTTCAATTGTTTTTTTAAAAACACAGTTTCTCAATAAATGGAAGTTTAAGTATTAGCCCCCTCTTACCTCAGTGACATGGAAGACACATTCAAATTGTGAATGTAGACAAGAACTAATTAATATAAACTATATAGAGCAGCAGTTAAATCTACAGCATGGGGAATGTAAACTGCAGCAACAAGAAGAGTTTTATAACTTCATGTGTTGAAATCTTACCATGAAAGACTTCTGACATGTGGTTAATAATATCCATCAAGCTTTACTGTATCTGAGCACCAAGTGTCATTAATGAAAAACACAGTTTCTCCCCTTGTGAACACTCGTTCCTTAAAGCCACCAGAGGAGGAGCTCTCACACAACAAATGATTTCAACTTCATTTGACTGTAACAGTAAAGAGAGAGAGAGAAACAGTCTTAAGGCTTTATTAGATCTTCTAATAAATGTGTCACTTAAATATTGTTTCAATCTCTATCTCTGATTAATTGAGAGTTTAAGAGTAATACTCAATTTTACCAGGATTTGAAAATATTTTAATGAACGTAGTCGGCTGATTTACCATCCTGTGTATGTAAATTAGCCTCCTCTTGTTGCTATATAAGAAAGTCCACTGGGTGTGTTAATGCATCAAGTTCTCACATCAGATCAGCTCCATCATCAGTCATGTTCTCTGCAGCTCTGATTCTTCTGCTGACCGCTGGATCCTGTAAGGATATTTTCAACTCTTTAGAAACAACTCATAATCAGATGAGTGATGGAGATAATGATGATTTGTGTTTCTACAGGTGTGCACTGTATTGATCTCATCACACCAGGCTCAATGGTTGTGCAGCCTGGACAGTCTCTGACCCTCACCTGTCAGGTCTCTGGTTACTCTCTGACTGATGTCAGCTATGCAACAGGTTGGATCAGACAGCGTAAAGGAAAAGGACTGGAGTGGATTGGAATGAGTTTTGGATCCACCACACTCTACAAAGATTCACTGAAGAATCAGTTCAGTATCAACTTAGACGCCTCCAGAAAAACAACGACTCTAAACGGACTGAATATACAGCCTGAAGACACTGCAGATTCCTCACACCAATAATGATTAACACCAAGCACTGAACCAGGGGAACAGAGCCTTTTCCATTGCTGCCCCTCTCCCTCTGGATCTCTCTCCCCAAACACACCTGAGACTTTACGGACCTGCCACAATTCAAATCACTGATAGAAACATTACAAACACTGCTTTAAATTTCTAATGTTTCTTTTTGTACCATTGTTTTAAAGTGTTTTTCTTTAAATGCGACTCTGTAAATCAAATAAATCAAATGGATGATTAATATTATTTTTATACATATTAAACACCAGTTCACTTTTACAGTCAGGAGAAAAACAGCTGTAAGACATTATGAAAATACCTTTGTATTAAACAGAATAACTCAGAATAATCAGGATCACATTCACATTAGTAACTGAACCAGAGGTCTTTAGCTTCCTCTATGGTGATCTTATTCAATCAGACTTTTAGAAAATGAGATTTTAATACCACTGTTGTTCTCTGATACCCTGAGCCCATGTGACAAAATCCTCCATGAATGTTGAGAACAGAAGACACCATCAAAGAACATGATGGGGATTAACTTCCTGTTAGATGTGAATATTTTTGGTACATGTGATCACAGATGTTACTGTATGTTCAATAACTGTCAAAAAGTGGAAACTAATGATTAATAACTTAAAAGGACACTTGTGTTTATAATTTAATTCCAAAAGTAAAGAAGTGATATCCAAATGAAATGACTTTCTTATCTATCTGAGGAGGAGTCAATGTAAATCTCTGATGTGTTCCTCCTCTACTTATGTGAGAGCAGAGAGGACGACAGAGAACAGTGGACACACAGTTGAACATGATGGACTATAGGACAGGACTGCTGCTTTTTACTGTCTGCTGGGCAGGTGATGATCATCACTCATCTTTACTCTAAAAAGTCTTCTGAAAGTGTCACATCTGATGGTTTTCTTTTCTGTCTCTTCAGGTGTTGATGGTCAGACTCTGACACAATCTGAAGCAGTGGTTAAAAGGCCTGGAGAATCCCACAGACTGACCTGTTCAGCCTCTGGATTCACATTCAGCAGCTACCATATGAACTGGGTCAGACAGGCTCCTGGAGAAGGACTGGAGTGGATCGCTTTTATTAGTAGTGGTAGTGGTAGCATCTACTACTCTAATTCAGTCAAAAGCCGGTTCACCATCTCCAGAGACGACAGCAGACAGCAGCTGTATCTGCAGATGAACAGTCTGAAGACTGAAGACACTGCAGTGTATTACTGTGCCAGAGACCCACAGTGACACAACCCATCAGTAGAGCTGAACAAAAACCCCTCAGAGCCTGAACACCAGTAACATGAAGCCACCAGAGGAGGAGCCCTCACACCAATAATGATCTTAACACCAGTTCACTGTTGAAGAGTAAAAAATACTCATTTATAGATTCATATAGTTATATAGCTTAAAGTAAAAATGAAATAAATATAACAAAGTTTATTTATAATACATTTCTGGGTTCAAACACAAATTACATAATTTGATCAATTGAAGTAATAAAGTAAGGGGGGGGGGGCAGTGTCTCAGATTGTGGGGACTTGGACTGGGATTCTGAGGGTCACAGGTTAAGGTCATGTCTGAAATTGGTCTGGTAGCTCGAGAGGTGTCAGTTCACTTCCTGAGCACTACATAGGTGATCCTTCTTTCATAGCCTCCCTGTGTCCTTATATGCAAAGTGAACTTCCTCACAGTCTGATATAAAGACTCGACATCAGGCTGTGAGTCAGAGAAGAACAGAAACTCCATCAGATCACTTCAAGTGAAAAAATGTTCTCTCTAGCTCTGATTCTACTGCTGGTCACTGGATCATGTAGGAAGCTTTTTAACTAATGATCACATCAGACACAGAGAATAATCAGATGAGTGATGGAGATAATGATGATTTGTGTTTCTACAGGTGTGCACTGTATTGATCTCATCACACCAGGCTCAATGGTTGTGCAGCCTGGACAGTCTCTGACCCTCACCTGTCAGGTCTCTGGTTACTCTCTGACTGATAACAGCTATGCAACAGGTTGGATCAGACAGCGTGAAGGGAAACCGATGGACTGGATCTGTCATAGGTTGGGTGGTGGAAACCTTTACCAAAATAATGCTCTGAAGAACAAGTTCAGCTCCAGCAGAGACACGTCTGTTAGAAAGTGACTCTAACATGGCAGAATATGCAGCCTGAAGACACTGCTGTGTATTACTGTGTCAGAGAGACACAGTGAGAGACAATAACAGGAGAGTCGTACAAAAA